TTCTATATGAAAACTCAGAGACCTAAGAAGGAATAAGGACCAATATACAATATACATATGTGGATAAATCTAGAGCAATTATCTCAACTTAAGGGCAAAATAGAATTACTCAAAGGCCTAGTCTGGACAGAAAATGTTTTTAGTTCCTACTTCTTTGTAAGGATTTCTGATTCAATAAGTCAACCATGAGAATTTGCATTTCTAACAAGTTAACAAGTGTTATTGGTACTGATGGCTTGTGGCCCATGCTTAGAGAACCACTGAAGATTATAGGACATATAAAATGATGTAGAGTTTAAAATTTATATTGAATTAAAATCCATGTATCTATGATGAATTATTTTATGAAAATGATTGCCCATCTTTCTAGTTGAAAAAACAAAAGGTGGGTCTTTTTGATAAGTAGCCTCCATAAATATGCTAAGTGAATTCTATATTCATAGAGAAAATAAACTTGATGCATTTCTCACATTGTGCAGAAAAGATAGTTCTAGATTTTCTGCARTTCTATATGTAAAAGGAAAAACCATAAGTCTTCTCAAAGGTGTACTGAAGGATATCAGAGTAACTAGAGATTTTAAAACAGGAATCCCCCAAATCAYCATTCATAGAGGAAAATTTGAACTTCATTAAAATTTACAATTCTGTTAAAAAAAAGACACAGTAAAGAGAGTGAAAAGCAAGAGAAAAGACTGGGAAAGTCATTTGCAACATATGCCACTGACAAAGATAGATGCAGAATCTATAAAAAACATACACACAACAACAAATACTTCCTACAARACAATAGCAAAACAATAACCCCCTTTAAGTATGAGCAAAAGCTTTGAAATGACACTTCCCACAAAAGGTATACAAGTGCCTCTCCAAATCACAAAAACTTGTTCAACCTCATACTAATCGTGGAAACAGATAGATACTAAAAACATAATGCAATATCCTTAATTGAAGTCAGATGGATAAATTTAAAAAAATATTTATAGTTGTAGATGGACACAATATCTTTATTTTATTTATTTATTTTTATGTGGTGCTGAGGATCGAACCCAGTGCCTCACACATGCTAGGCACGCACTCTTACCACTGAGCCACAACCCCAGCCCTAAATTTTTAAATTATAGATAGTAATGCAAAATAATGACAATATGGTACAGTGAAAACTCAGAATCTGCTGTGGGGGTGGGAGAGTGAAATAGTACAGCCATTTGGAAAATAGCTTAGCATTGTTTACTAAATTTAAAGATGCTTATGCCATATGATCCAGCAATTTTCATTCCTAAGTAAGTCTTTGTGCACTGAGATGCATATAAGACTGTTATACATCATGAATGATAACAGCCCAAATTTATAAATCTCAAATCTTCATCTGAGGAAAAATATATTCTAGTATATGCATAAATTGCATAGCATGCATCATCACTAAATAAGAATTAACTAACTACAAGTAGCAACATGGATTAATCTCACGTATTATTGAAGGAAAAAGGCCAATCAAAAAATTACATACAGTTATTGACTTATGTACAAAAATGGGAAAAACTACACTGGTTACTTAGCTTATAAAATTTAAATAAAAACAAGAATTAATTTCAAAAGGAAGATAATGTGACTTCACTTACTGGAAAGACATGGCCAATAGTTAGGAAAAGATAGCAATGGGGCTTTCTCTTTCTTGCCAAGGTTCTATTCCCTACCCTGGATACATATTTAAACAAGTGTTTACTTTAGAATATGTAATTGAACTGTACACCTTTTCATTGTGCCTCTTTCTATACAATAAATGCAATAAAATATTTTAAAACACCAACTACTTACTCTATCCATTTTAAATTCAGCACACTTTTCTTTCCAGTTGCTTGAAAACACCTGAAGTTCTTGATTTAATTATTTTCCAATAATGCTTTAATTAATCCTTTTGTTTAGTTAATTTATTCTCATATTCTAGTTCTTACATTACTTTGCATTCATTTAGCAAGGTAAATTAATATTTAATGGGAATCAARKGCACTGATGTCCTCTGGATAAATACCTTGTTTAATTCATAGATGACTTTGTGTTTATTTTGGTTCCAGAACTAATTTCAAAAGTATTAGTAGAGAAAAGATAATAGTATAATATTGGAAAAAGAGACTAATAGTTTGCCAATGTCATAAAAAGTTTTTTTTTTTTTTATCTACCTAACTTCTCTATCCTAAAAATCCCATTACAGGACATAGACTATCATATATTTATATATTAAAATAAAGTTATTTGAAACAATTCTATTGTTAGCAAGTTATAATAAACATATTGTTACTAAATGCAGTTACATCATATCATGGACCAACAAATTTAAATTATCTTGTAAATTCCTCTAAAAAATATAGTCTAATTGTTCCATATCAGAAAACAAATTTAAGCAATAGTTTTTAAATACAGTGAAGGATCTGARTTTTAATCTTACATACAAGCTGTAGTTTCATGGATGCTTGTAGAATATGTCAAACTCCTGGGTCAGAGATAAAGGACTTTCTCACTCAGGTGCTGCAGGCAATAACAGCATCAATGCTTTGTGCAGTGGCCTCTCAGCTCCAATTCCACAAGGCTAAGAGAAGAGAATCATGTGATTCACTTGTACACATAATGGTGGTGTTACAGTGGAGTAATTCTAAGTTCAGGGATTCAAATAAACCTGCTTGCCTTTTGCTCAGTAGGAAAACATCCCTCTTCAAGWGCTATAAATAAACTCTCTCTTCATTCTGGATGGAGGTACTATTATCTCTATCTTTCTTTTTTTTTATTTATTTTTTATTGGTTGTTCAAAACCTTACAAAGCTCTTGACATATCATATTTCAAAAGGCTCTTCCAAGGCTATTCATTATGCAGATATCCTTGAAAAGATAATCCGGAAAAAAGGAAACTTAGTAGACCTGCAGAAACAAAATGGAGAATTGTCTCTCATTATTGGTGATAGCTAAAACCTCTTCATAGAGTTGATATAAGATAGAAATTTTCTTTTTAACATATTGGCCAAAATGATTCTTCAAACTTTTTTGAAATGAGAACCAACCAGGTTATTTTATGGTTCATGTTGCATTCAGAATGCTTATGAGGGTCATAATCATATAAAGTCCTAGAAGGAGAAAAAAAAAATATATATATATATATATACAAAATGATTCTTCAAACTTTTTTGAAATGAGAACCAACCAGGTTATTTTATGGTTCATGTTGCATTCAGAATGCTTATGAGGGTCATAATCATATAAAGTCCTAGAAGGAGAAAAAAAAAATATATATATATATATATATATATATATAATCTTGAAAACCACTTCCAAACCATATTCTCTCTCTCTCTCTCTCTCTCTCTCTCTCTCTATATATATATATATATATATATATATATATATATATATATATATATCACCACTACATGTGGGGCATTATTATACATATACTTTGAATCCATGCATTCTGTATTTTTGGATTCAACAAATTAAGGACTAAGGAACACAAATATTTGGAGAAAAATTCCACTTGAACTGGACATGTACAGAAATTTTTCCTTGTCATGATTCCCAGAAAACATTGTCTAAAATCTATTTACATATCTTTACATTGTGTAAGGTGTTCTAAGAGACCTAGAGATGATTTAAAGTATATGGGAGATTGAACTTAGATTATGTGCAGATACTAGCCCATTTTATATAAGGGACTTGAGCATTTGTGGATTTTGTTAGCTCAGGGGGGCCTGGAACCAATCTGGGATAGATTCTCAGAGACACCTATATATAGTGTGTATACACACACACACACACACACACACACACACAAGACATGCATTTATATATAATGTACACACATATCTATATGGTTTATTTTTCACCACTACTTAAAACATAAATTCTKCTGGGCATGGTGGCACATGCCTGTAATCCCAGTGACTGTGAAGGCTGAGGCAGGAGGATCACAAGTTGGAGAACAGCCTCAGCCATTTACCAAGGTTTCAAGCAACATAGTGTCTAAAAATTAAAATAAATAAATAAATAAAATAAAAAGGACTGGGGATGTGATTCAGTAGTAAAATGTCCCTGGATTCAGTCCCTAGTTCAAAAACAAAGCAAAACAAAACTCAACCAATTACAAATTCCTTATGAGWAATGAGCATGTTAGTATATGTGTGTAATTTATTCTCTTATTCTGATCCCTACATCACTTTGCATGAGTTTAATTAATGAAATGGTATGTCTGTCATACAAGTTTTTTTTCTCTATAGCATCTTCAGGAAAATAGCAAGAAAACAAGTATGTCTGTAAGTTGAAGGTTCTAATAGTTGACAAATAATGCAATTTTTAAAAAATCTTCAATACCACTTCCAATCCATGTACTCTAGAATAATGACCCACATGTAGAGGTGCTAATTAAATATTTTTGCATGGAGCTAACTTAAACTCATGATCCCATCCTACTATTTGCAAAGCCAGGAGTTAGGCTTAGTGACAGTATATATACTGTACTTTGAAAATAAAAAAATATATATTTCTCTCAAACTCATTTACAGCCACCTAACACACAAAGACTCTTCATTTAGGGTGATTCTGATATACAGATGCATAAAACTGAGGGAAAGATTATGGCTCTAGAAATATTTGCCTTTATGAGAACAGAAATGAGTTAAATGCCTATGTTTTCCTTCGTTGACAATTGTGTTATTATTTTTTTTCTGGTCCCGGTTCTCATTTTCATCTTCTTCAATAGGAATTTAGCAGAGAAGAGTTTATGGTTGAAAAACTTTATGTAAGTTCTCCAGAGGCTTAATCATCAACACAATGAGTTGAAACCTCTCTGATCTTCTTTACTAAATCAAACGTCTCTGTTTACAACGAATGCAGAAAGTACAAAATGTTTCTGTACTCCTTCCTCATCAAAATTACCTCCTAGAGGAACTAGAAAATGTGTGTCAATGTGGATTACCATCTACAGGAGCTACTCGCCCTGACACTCTGGGGTCTTGCACACAAAGGATGAAAGAGGGGCGTGGGGAGGCTGGAAGGCGTCCCTACCTCGCCTCGCCAGGCAAAACCCGCCCCAGCAGTCTGCTGGGGAGTGGGGACCTGGAGCAAGATAAACTTGGGGCTTGGGATATTTGAATGCCACAAAAATTGCCGTCCTTCCCAAAGAGGCAGGGAGAGAAGAGCTGAGTGCGTGCGCGAGCTGAGTGCTTACGTCGCAGCGAGCTCTGTGCTGGGATAATTAGAGAGGAGTTGAGCTGAGCTGAGTCCTCTTTTAGCAGCAGCAGCAGCCGGAGCCGCAGCAGCAACCCGGAGGGGTGCACCGGACCCTGGTCACTCCCAGCGCGCAGGGAGAGGCGGCTGCCGCGCCCACCGCCCCGGCGGCTCTGGGTGCACAAAGGCAGCGGCCGCCTGCGTGGCCTTTTCCATCCAGGCGTTCGGGTCCCCTCCCTCCCTTCTCTCCCGAAGGCGAAAATGGCAGGGCCGGGCGGGGACCTGGGACAGCGGTGGCCCTAGCTCTGCMGTCCCCACCCCTCCTGCTGAGAGGCAGCGCGTTGCCCTCAGATGATGCCGCCCCAGCTACTCCCGAGTGAGTCTTCGGCCCGGGTCCCSGSTCTCGCCCCTCTTCTCTGTTCSTTCCATACCGCCGAGWGGAGTTGATGCTGCTGTCGCCCCCKCTGCCGCCACCGCCGCCGAAGCCTGGGCTGATGGATGCCAGGGAGTGCCGCATTGCTTAGCGTCCCCRCCTCCGGGTTTGCTGGTAGGAGCCAGCTGCTCTTTCTTCTTTCTTGCTTTGGGGTTTATAGAAAAGATAGAGACATTTTTATTTCATTCTCCACAACTCCCTTCACCACCCCCCTGTTTTTGACATGCACCTTCCCAGAGAGATACCTTCCCTCCYCACCCCATCCCCATGGCAAGTCCTTTAAAATAAAGGCAGAGAGGAGGGCAGAAGTTGGGGGTGGGGTGGGGTGGGGGGAGCCCACGCTGGTGCCAACGCCACCAAAATCTCTCCTGGTGCCTCATGAGATCGCGGTGTATACCTAAGAGGGGCAGAAGGAAGGTGCACTGTCTGCAGTGTTCCCTAATTGGATCATCATGATAATAAAAAAAAAATAAAATCCCACAAAGATGTCTTTTTAAAAATAGCATCTTTGAATAAGCAGAGGGGGGAAATAAGCTCCTCTCCCCCACCCTCTTTCTCTCTTTTTCTTTCTGGCAAAGACACTCTCTCCCCGCCCTGGATCTCAGCGCTGAAGAACCACCTTATTATTAATCAGAATTCCCATCGTTATCCCTGGCAGGCGCATCCTTCAGTAGGAACTGCAGAAACATCACTGTGCCGGGGCTGAGATGTGCGTGGGGGTTGTTTTTATTACATCTTGGAAGACAAGAGAAGAGGACCGCACCATGATCAGAACCCCTCGTGCTAGGTGGGATTAGGGGTGTTTCATTCAGAGAGAAAGGACCAGAAGGAGCAGGGAGCAGGGCCCTCCAGAGGTCCACATTTCTTTAAAGAAGAGGGAACTAAACAGGGCGTTGTTTTTAGGGGTTTGGGGGAAAGTTTATATCCTCCACAGTAAAGCTGTTAGAAAGCAAGTGCAACAGGGTACTTGATTAATCACAAAGATCAATTCTTTCCTGTAAAGGAGAAGCAGGCAGCAGGGAGGTCTGGGGCCAGAGTGTGGAAGTGGCAAAGGCCAGGTTTGTTGTGGGACAGTCAACCAGAGCTTCAGAGCAAAGGCTCTGGAACAACAGAACAATGACTCATTTACAAGCTGGTCTCTCCCCTGAGACCCTGGAGAAAGCTCGCCTGGAACTGAATGAGAACCCAGACACGCTGCACCAGGACATCCAGGAGGTGAGGGATATGGTCATCACTAGACCGGACATTGGCTTCCTGCGCACTGATGATGCTTTCATCTTACGCTTCTTGCGGGCGAGGAAGTTTCATCACTTTGAGGCCTTCCGCCTCTTGGCCCAATACTTTGAGTATCGTCAGCAGAACCTGGACATGTTCAAAAGCTTCAAGGCCACTGACCCTGGCATCAAGCAGGCGCTGAAAGATGGTTTCCCTGGGGGCTTGGCCAATCTGGACCACTATGGCAGGAAGATTCTAGTCCTTTTTGCTGCCAACTGGGATCAGAGCAGGTAAATCTTAAATCCAAACTTGCGCATGAGCCTGTTTCCCTCCCATTTTCCAGAATTTATCCTGAAGAGTGGTGTCATATTTTTGCAGGTTTGATGTTTTTGTTTATTGGGCTAGGAGAAAAGAGAAACTGGGACTAAGAAATGAGTTTTTGGTGTGCACCCTGGGAAGAGAGAAGGCCTTTTATTTTTACTTTTAAAACTCTTAGTTCACTAACACCCGTTTTCCTATTGCAGCTTTAAGTGTTTCCTGAACCATCTTATTACATAGAAATCTAAATCACTAAACTTCTAAATAAAGCAGACAAAATTTTCACCTCCTGAATAAATTTACTGGTCTGGGAAAATGAGTAATTATAGCAAACAACTTTTCCTCCTTCCTCATAAAGGAATTCTTAAACTTAAGACAATCAACATCATAATTGTMATCAATACCCTCTCTCTTTAGTATTCTTTATTTCTTATTTTCTAAGAATAGCCCGGTGCTCAAGCAAGAGCAGGTAGTTTTATTGCTTAGGAACTTTTCTGCTTGGTGATGTGTAGATAAAGGTGTAATATGATGTGTGTCACTTCAGTGAAAAGGAAGAGTTGCACCCTCTGCCGCTGAGCATGCCTAGCGACACTGAAAATAAAGGCTGACTGGTGTGCTTGTTCTACACCTGTCACTAATCTGAAGAATATGTTTCCTGTCTGATGTAATTTTTCATCTTTTAGAAAGAAGTGAAAAATGTTGGGATGTATCAGTTGGTAGGCTTTTTGAGCTCATTGGCTGTTTAGTAGAGGAGAAATAATATTTGCACTTCAACTACACTATTATGGGGAAAAAGCAATGGCACTTTTACTTCTTCAATCAGGTTTCATTTCCCAGGCTGTAAGATAGAAGAAATTATAAAAGCTTCTTGGATAAGGTAGTTTCAATTAACTTCAAAGTTAAATAAGTGTATTTCATGGAACTTGGAAATGTTCCCAAGCTAAATATCATAAGAAGATGGCTGTTAAAACATTGGTGTATTTTAGTTTTGTGAATAATGAGTTTGGGTACATCTGGTTGATTTAAACTACATCTGGAGCAACAGTAATGAGTTTTACAATTAGTGAGAGATTTTATAGAACTTATGGATTTCTGGTAGGCTTCTGAATTTCTTGGGATATTAGAACATAATAAATAAAACTGATTTTTAACAGTTTTCCCATTTGATTGGTTACTTTCCTCTATAATTCCAAGTTGAGAGGTACTCTTATTTTTTAAAGTGAATATGGAGACAAAATACTACCTGAAGAATCATAAATTTAAGAAACTYGTAGATAAAATTAGCCATTGAAGGGCATGGAGCTTTCTTTACTTTGGCTAGACCTTACTATACCTTTTATCATGTGGAAAACATCAAAGGACTATGAAATTCTATCCAACAACTATAAGTTTTCTTTAGGAAGTGTTTTTTTTCTTCATCTAAATACATTATGAAGTCATGCAAATGATGATTGCATAGCAAAACTGAAAACTTTGAGAAAGAACCTAATATTCCATATTACAGTTCATTTAGAACTTTATTAAGCTTTAGTGATACGATGGCTATGGAAATTTTATATTTAAATACATCTTAAAGTCTGTTACAAATATCCCTAGAGAGGCAGATTTTATTCAAAGACACATATACATACATCAGAACTATTTCATCTATTTTATAAGTTAACTAACATTCATAATGATTTATTAGGATAATTAAGATGAAAGTCACTTATAGTTCTCTTCTATATGAAAAGAAGATTATTCTGGATATACTTAAGGAACTGTTTCAGTTGTCTATCTCTTGCATTTCTATAAAGGACACGTTCTAACTAAACAAACCTTTTCTCTTTGGAAAGCTACAATAGGAGGGATATTGATAGACATGTAGAACATTTTTATTAAATTTCCATAAAATTATAAATATGAAAATACTATGAATTTAAAATTAAAATGTGAGAAGTTATGTCCTATAGAAACACCCTGTCAGGACCTATAGACTAATAGTTGTGAATTCTGTTTATGTGATTGGAAAGGAACAGGTATAAACAAGAAGTTGTAGTATACCAAAAAACTGTAGTACATCTAAATCACATGCAAGTGATTTAGAGCTTGCCTAAATTTCAGTTGTTTCTACCTTCTGTTTTGTTTGTTTGTTTGTTTTTAACAAATCCCTCCCTCTTCCTACTTGTTCCCCATACCAAGCCCACTTATACCAAATGACAGGGATTCCTGGATGGGCAGTTCTGCCATTTTGGCAGCCTCTGTAAATCTTTATCTTTAGAGTATGTGCACAAGAACTGTGTTGATCTCTGCCCTGAAATTGGAGGAACAATTGCATCTCTGRTAGTGTCAGAGTCCTAGGATCCCTTCTCAGTATGAATCCTCTTTTTCCACCCTTTCTCAAGGCTTCTCTAACTTGCCTCCTACATAAGCTGCGGCTACCTTTTCTACATGCTTACTTAACCATGGCTGTTAGGTTAGGTAACAGATTTCCTTACATCTTACTCTCCCCTGCTGTGTAAGTTAAGTGCTGTGTTCATTGTCCTTATCCTGACAGTTCAAAACCACCTGCATCTCTCAAGAAAACTGTACCGCTGAACATAATTTTGAGCACATGCGTTGAGTTGAATACTTAAAAAAATTAGTATTATATAGGGATATTTCAGAAATGAAATAGAAGAAAAATTATTATTTAGAAAAAAGGTAATTTCCAAATTCCTAAGTACAAAGAAAAAATAAGATTTCATAAATTTGAAGAAAATATTTGCAAACCCACCCAAAAGTATTAATTTGTGTAACAAGAGACATTTCTTATATTTATAATGGCACTTGAGCTACAATAGGTGCTCAATAAATATTTGAGGTAAATTAAGAGTTATGCAGTTTTTTAAAACAAATTCTAAGTAAAAATTTCTCTTTTACATGCTTTTTGCTATATTAGGGCAATTTTTTTATGTGCCTGAAGACACTGAAAACAGTAAATATAAAATAGTGTCTCTTTCTACTATAACATAGTGCAAGATAGTTTTAGATTCTATGAATAATTGGCCCCTTTCCAAAATCTTTATGAGATATAAAGTCATAAGAAAGACTAAGGTAAAATAAAAATATTTACAGTATCCCCACCTTCTGAAAAATCTAAAAAAAAAAAGAAGAAATACTGAAATGTCAAAATGTGTTGTGTTCTGTGGTCTTCTAAAAAGAAATAAAACAGGCTCAGATGACTTGTAACATTCATTGAGCATTCTGTACCTTGGAAGAAATTCATACAATTTTATTTCCTTTCAGGTTGTCTAACATAATATCTGAAAACAAAAGCAAACACAACAAATTATAATTTGATGGTTACGTGGCATCATTAGAATTCAGGGACTCTCAGTGCATCACATGCTATATTTCCTTCCCAAATGACAATGCCCTATTTAGGACTCAGCAGATACCTCCAAGTTGTCCACTTGATTTCATCAACAGAGTGTGAAGATAATGGACCATGAAGCTAGAAGATATAGCACCACTMGAGAAAAGGAAGTTTGGAGTGAAAGGAGATGGCAGTCTAGGCCCCAAGGCATAAGAGCAGATAACTGAGAAGTAGAAATCCACTGACACATAATTACTGGGAATATTCATGAGTGAAATTGGGTTACCTGAAACCTACAGATGACATGTAGCCTGAGAGTTGGCCTGTAAATGATAGGTTAGCAGCCAGTAGTATTTTACTTCTATAGACCTCATTAGACTTATAAAATAGTTCTGTATACTTTAGTAGAAGAAACAACCATTTATCTGGGATTTGGTTAATAGTTATTAGAAAATAATTAAATGAAGCTAGAATTAAAGTGATTATTAATATAGTGGCAATTCAGAAAGCACAGACCACCTTGCACTATCTTTGGTTTTCACAGTATTGAAACTTGGGAAGGGGCTTAAAACTCGCTGGTCAGACATTGCTGTGATCCTCTAACTCATCCTGGAATTTGTCTAGAAAACATTTCCTTGTCTGTTTTTGCCTAGTATGCAGTGTTTCATAAAAAAAGAAAATATGTAAATGACAGGTATTTGAGGTTTCAGTTTGAATTATGATCATGCTCTCATATCTTTCAATAGTGTGGTCAATGTTCAAAATGATGATTTTGATAATAATGGCTTACCACTTAAAAAATAACCATAGACAATGCAGATTTGCTTTAATRTCAACTACAAAGATTTTATTTTCTCTGGAAGTATGCTAAAATGAATAYAATTAAATGAGATTAAAATGAAAAGAAGTGGATTAAAACAGTCAAGGGTAATAAACAAGATAGGGAGAATTACTCACAGTTGGTAGTCTTTAAAACAATTTTAAAAAGAAGAGACTTTATTGTTTGGCTTGATTTTTCAAGATTTCTTGTCTCAGTTTGTTAAAGTATTAAACCATTTCTCAACTATAAAGTCATTGTCACACTTAGTGGCAGGATCAGGAATCCTTATGATCCTGGAGGAATTGTTGCATTGTGTGATGGGTAGATTTCCATTAGGCTAAAGTAGAAGTTACAGGTGTACATTCCATGGGATCCCAACAGAATCTGTGGTAGGGAGGCTCCCGAACAACTTCTCTAGAAATTGCTACTTATTCCAAACTCTTCTCTTGGTACAGACCATGGGAAAATGGGAGAGGTTAAAAAAAAAGACAGTTGTCCTGAGAAATGTTAGAGGAATATTGTGGAAAAAAAAATAGAATTGTCTCTAAAAACTGGGGCAATTAGGGCTGAGGCTGTAGCTCAGTGGCAGAGCACTTGCCTAGCATGTGTGAGGCACTGGGTTTAATCCTTAGCACCATACACAAATAAAATAAAGGCATTCTGTCTATCTACAACTACAAAACAATTTTTAAAAATGGGACAACTATGCAGTAATTAGTGAAATAATCCYGAAATAACTGCAAACACTGGAGAGCCAAACTTCAGTACAGCATTGATTAGGTCTATTTTAAATCAGACTATTTCCATGTTTCAAA